TCATGGTAAAGGAGACTCCAAGCACAAGGCTCAGAATATGCAAAGTCCAAGAAGACACGTGTGAGCATGAGTGTGGGTCTTAGTGAGTAGTTCATGGTGTCTGCAGAGCAAGTTCCTCTGGGTGACTGACTGTGTGTGTGAGAGGGGTACTGGTGATAGGAGACATGACTCAAGAGTTAGATCCAGTGTCACCAAGGAATATATATGCTGGTACAGATTGAATCATTTCTCGCAAAAATGTTCTAGTATCCAAGACTGTGAGCTTACTTGGAAGCAGAGTCTTTGCAGATGATCAGATTGAAAGGAGGTCACTATCCCAATATGAGTGATGTCCTTAGGAAAAGGGGAAATCTGGACACAGACATATGAAGGAAAATGATAAGGACCAAAGGGAGAATGCCATTCAAAAGTCAAGGGATGCAGAGGCTGCAAGCAAGGAGAGAGGCAGAGAGAAGATTCTCCCTCAGCTCGAGGAACCAACACTGAAATAGGACTTAGGACTTGTAGTCTCCAGGTTTCTAAGACAATACATTTTTGTCCTTCACACCACTCAATCTGGAGTACTTTGTTAGAGCAGCTCCTGAAAACTAATCCACAGACCAAAGTTAACAATGTAGATTTTAGTACACAGATAAAGGAAAGTCACTGAAGGATTTTATGTGGGAGATTCACATGATCACACTGTAAGTTAGAAAGATCATGCTTCTTCACAGTCATGTGTGCATTTGGATCAGAGCAGGAAAGATGAGAGGCAAGAGTTCATTTAAACTCCAGAAACAGTTCAGGCAAAACATAATGTGAATTAAGACAGTGGCATTAGAAATGAACAGGGCAGATTTATAAAGTATTGAGGAGTAAATGGTCAAGGAAGCCAGGTTCATGTTATTAGAGAAATGAAAGGACACTTACCATGAGTCCACTTTAAAACGGAGAAAATGCTTGATTTGGATTTGGACTTGAAAAAATAAATAAAAATTGTGAGATAAAATTATCTTATGTTGAAAATTATTTTGGTTATAAAGGCAACCGTGTGCATTAATTTTAAGTGAACAGAGAACAAACTGAATTGTTTTGTATTTTGACTTTTCTTTTCTGGAAGATTATGTGACACATTACGGCTGTCTTCACTTTCAGAGCCAGAGCATAACAGAGCTACTTGTGCAAAAAGAAAATGGAGAGTTTCATCAGGGCTCTCATGTCCTCCTTTAATCCTGTGACACGCTAACCATTCTCACTTGAAGTGCCTTTCACATTGTCATTATTTTAATTTTCTGTTTTAGTTGCCAATTGGTCTATGTCTGCCTGTGTCCTCACTTGTCAATGGTTTGGACTAGAAACAGGGCACAACACTGGTGTCAATCTGGAATAATACACCTCATCATCTAGGGTTGTATGTTCTTTTCCCTCTTCTTTGTTATGGCAATGAGAGTTCCATGCTTAAAAAAAAAAAAAAACTGTAGTAACCATTTAAAGTCTGTGCAAATTTCAAACCATTTCTTTGACAGTCATCTTTCCAGAAAAAGAGTACAGGATAGTGTACAGAAAAGGGATGGCAGCGAAGGGCTACAAACCAGGAGACTGGCTCTGCCAGCAGCTCCCTGGGTAGGCTCTTCCTCTTTGCCATCCAGAAGAGAGTTTGGACTAGACGTCATCTAATGAGAAATGTTTCATGTTTGGGTTTGACATTGTAGCATACAATTTATTTACTATGTGTTCATGGACAAGTCACAAACTATCTAAAATCCTAAAATTCAGTTCTCATAAGCAGAAAGCAAAAGCATTTTGCTCATTATTAATTCATTACCATATTCCTGAAAGAAGGTAAGGTATGAAGAACAGGAGCTACTTTTCACCAAGCAGAGACTACTTAGGGTGGTGATGTTCACACTTTTTGCAAGAGAAAAACACCTTATATAGCATAGATGTCAGTAATGAGCAAGTTCATTTTTACCATTTTAAGGTTTTATTGTACTTAGAAAAGGATTTATGTATTGTAGAATCCTTAAAACCCCTCAGCAGAGGCTGGTACACAGGGGGCACAATGTGAAAAGCAATGTTATCCTCTGAACATTTCTGGAAAACACAGCAAAGATTCAATGGTATTTATGGCTACCACAGCACAATGGTATTTATGTTGTACCAAACATAGAAACAGATTCACTATTTTGATAAAGAATATTTTTGGTGTCATATAAAAAGGAAAACACAGGATTTATATATTCCCATGGAGGCAGGCTTTAAATGGGACACTCAGATGGAATTGTGGTGGGCTGACTACCTAGTTCAATTTTTTTAAAAAACTGGTAATTGATCTCATTATCTCCACCCTTCTTCTCCCCATTTCAGGATTTGAGTAATCTTTTAAAAATGTAAATCTGATTTATCACTTTGTTGCTCAAACCTCCAATGTGTTCTCACTGACTCTCTGGGGCAAGTCCAAATGCTTACCATGGCCCTTGCTCATGTCTGATCTCATCTCATGACACACTGATTTCCTTTCCATCCTGTTCCTTGAACACACAGATCTCTTTTCCTCAGGGCCTTTGCACATACACATCCCTCTGCCCAGAACACTCTTTCCTCTACATATCTGGCCAATTCCTACTCGCCTTTTTGGCCTTGACATAAATAACCTCCTCAAGAGGCCTTTTCCAAATACCTGCACACTCCACCTGGCTCCACTACTCTATTTTGGGCTCTTGTATTATTCTTTCAACTCTATTTTCTTCTTCATAGTGTTTACTATAATTTAACTCATGTACTGATTTATGTTTCTGTCTATTGAACATCTGCCTCCTGCCCCTTCCCAAGTCTAGTTTTAGGAAAACATTTTATAGAACAATGTAGTACATGATTCCAACTTCATGGTAAAACATGTTGAGAAATAAAACTATGTTTTCTCCCTCTCCATACACTTAGCACAAGTGTCATTTCTCTAGAGATAGAAAGGTTGCTCCAAGTGGACATATATTCAGCACTACTCCTACATACAGTCATCCCTCGAGAGCTAGAGGGGATTGTTCTAAGACATTTCCTCTCCACTACAGATACCAAAATTTATGAATCCTTAAGTCCCTTATACAAAATGTTATCTTTGCATATAATCTACCTATATCTTCTTATATACTTTAAATCATCTCTAGAGTACTTGTAATACCTAACACAATGTGAATGCTACATAAATAGCTGTTATACTATACTATTTAAGGAATAATGACAAGAAAATTAGAGTCTGTACCTGTTCAGTACAGATGCAATTTTTTTTCCAGTGCGGGGGATCAAACTCAGGGTTTTGCATATGTTAGGCAAGTGCCCTGCCATTGGGCTATATCCCCAGCCATTTTTCAAATATTTTTGATCTATGGCTGATATGGATCTGTGGATGCAAAATGCATAGACAAAAATACAACTGTGTTTGATGTTTTTAGAAAGCTCTGGACACACTTGACAAAATGGATGTCCTGCCCTGTAGTTAGAGCAAACATTCCTAAAAGCCCTTGTATATTGTCTCTTCTGTAATGAATATTCTGGTGTGGGAAGTCAGCCTGGGGGTGAGGGCAAGAGGTGGCAGGAAAGCAGATGGCCCTGTGCTATTTCTGGGCTTTGCCAGGCCCACCAAGTTAGTCTGTTGGCCTCAATTACATCATCTCGGCTGAGCACAGCAGCATGGCTCTAGCACAAGCCAAGAAGTTCCCAGTATTTCTTTAGACTACTATCAAAGTTGGAAATATGAGAATGAACACAAAACATGGTGTCCATTTCATTACAGGTATAGTCTCACAAGGATGAAGCAAGCCTGGAACTTGCCTCCTAGTGAGATTTGCGAGTTAAGAGAGCAAGACTCCTAAGGAAAGGGTGCCCATCTCCAAGATGTGAGGGCCTAATGTTTAGGGTGGCCTCACTTATTTAATACACCTTCACCACCCTCATGCCATCACATAGGCATCTTAGCTGATGATTTCAAAGAATCAAAATCAGAAGGGAATTCTAAAAGCACAATTTATTTCCTGAATAAATATAAAATACTATACACCAACATGGCAGGAGGTCACATAACCTTTCTCAGTCACTTATAACCCAGAACATAGCAAAACTTGCCTTTGGTAAACAAAGGCCACCCATCAGATGGGCAGTATAATTACTAAAGGCAGGGAAGAGATTTTGGTAAAGAGAGAGGAGGTGACGGAATGGACTATAGAGGATTATACATATTTAGCATCTAATTCTTATTGCAGAAGACTGGCCTACACAATAAAGAAAAATGAAGGAGTTTATGGTTTAGATTCAGAAAGTTCTTGTGTAACAAACTGATGGTGCATCAAAATCATTGTAACCAACAACTCTCATGGACAAAGGAACATGGGGAAAGTCTGCATCTTTTCTGATAAAATTACCCAGGATGGAACAAGAACTTAGACCAAGATGTCGATTAACTTTTAAGGGCAACCTTCCATACCAAGAAGACCAAAAATAAATCATCTTCATCAATTATTTGCAGGCTATAACATTACAACACACAATTTGAGATCTAAGACAAGTCAACAGGAAAGGTAATAACATATCTATGTGAGGCCGATGTAACAAACAGGAGCTCACTCAGTCACCTGACAGATAGAGATCAAGCACCCTGTGTGCCAGTGCTAACTCTACCTCAGATCCTGTGCTCTCTGCTGGGGCATTAGAGGAAGAAGTGCCCATAAGGAGATGGGAAGGAGGAAGAAGAGAACAACCTAGTGACCTGGTTTTGCTAGAAGCAAGCCAGTTTATTTTGCTCATTCATGTTTGCTGCTACAGAGGACTGCTGCTTAGCAAGGCTGCAATGAGCATCTCTGGAAGAATTAGGCCAGTGCACAACGTGAGCATTGAAGAGAGCTCTGAAGCAGGCTTAGCCAACCTACCTGTGTGAGTCTTGAGTCGCTATGCACAGCTGAGTTTCTCAGCAGGGGGGCAGTGTTACCCTCCAGACACAATATATCCCAGAAATACAAGACAGCACATACCTGGGCGGACAGGGCTCTGTGTTACAGGCCTGGCTCATTGCTGGAGGACGGTGGACCATATCACACAAGCTGTCATTGACTGTCTGCTGGGTCTGGATGTGTAAGCACACTGCTATGGCTTCTTGATGGCCTGGAGGGTGGTAAGAGAAAAAAATGCAAATGACATAGAATAGCTTATTGTAGAGAGAAAGAAAACGAGGTCTTAGGTCTTCTCATTCTTAGGTTGCTGCCCTTTCGACTACATCATGGGGCTGCAGGATGAATTTCAGGGCACAAGTACAAGCAAACACCTTGACATGACCCAAAGTCTCCCCATCTTTGAAGTCCTTCATTCACATTTTAAGCACAGTCCCTCTCCTCTCTCTCTCTCCCCCAAGCCCACTCATCTTGACACATTTGATTCTCCATCTACCCTCAGACTTACCTGCATCTAAATGTACTTGAAGCCAGGAGTCCCTCCAAAAGAATCATTACAATGATCCTTCCCATAATGTACAACAGTTTCCCTAAGAGGAATTTTCATGCCAGCTGCCAAAGAATCACATTTGCTCTATATCATTTCATATGTGCCAAATCCAATGTATAACTTTCAAAATTTTTCATTATGGTTTGAGATGCTATTCACTGTTACCATAATTAGTAATATTTTGATTGCTAACAAAACATAGCAATAATTTCCATTGAGAAAGTGTACAAAGTACTTTCATTATGTTATTTGAGCCCAAAATTATCTTGTGAAGCCAAAAATGATACTCTTATCTCCATTTTATTAATTTAATAAGGAAACTGAAGTTTGGAAAGAAACGCAGACAGCAAAATGTGGCAGATTAAAAACTAAAAATTAAATTCCCTGCCTCCAAAATGTAATACATTCCCAAGTAGTGACTGCTCCTTGTTCCAATAAGAACTTCCACAAGTGTATTTTTCCTCTGAGGCCACAAAGATCTGTCTCACCCCAAAGCCCATGTTTTCCACCGCTCTTCTTTGTCTGTTAAGACAAAAGAGAATTACTATAAAATTGGAATTGAATAAAATATAAATCAAAATTTTGATTAAAAAAGTCAAATAAGAATGGTAACAGCCCCTGACCATGCTATTTGAAATATGTAAATGTATTCAGTTTCATGTTAGAATGCACGTTCCATTACATTACAACTTGTGGTTCTTTTTCCAAATGCCATGTTTCAATCCAACCATTTTACAGCACTCTGCAGAATGCAGTATAGGCCAAAAACATTTATAAAATACATATTTGAATACTCAGTTCTTTCCAACAAATTTTCTCCTGCTGTCTTCCGTTGTAATTTTATGGTGCCTGACATAGTGGGATGCAGTTTTAAATCTACATGCATCTTCCTTGAACTTTTAAAATAAACATTGGCTAACCTGAAATGTAAGAAAATACTGCTACAACTTCATAACTGGTTCTTATTTGCAAATATCAAAGCTTCCTTAGTGACTTAACATGTATATTAATGTTCATTTTATAGTAGTTTCATTCTTTTTTAATCTGAGAAAAATCCAGTTTCCTTTGGAATACAGTTTAATTTGAATTAAAAATTCTTTAGAAAATATATTGAGACTATTATGAATATTTTTTGGAGACTAGCTGGGGAGACTTTAAGCACTACTTTAAACATTTTTGAATGGAATTGTCAAATACTTGTGACACACTTCTCTGTCTTGCAGCAAGTTTGTTGAAAAGAATTTAAAATTTTACTAGATGATTTGGCATATTTTTGGTATAGAATCATTTTCCAAAGATAGCCACAAAATATTTCTCATCTGCCATGCTGGTCTTACGATGTGACCTTGACACTTTCTACTTCAAGAGGTTTCATCAAACAATTATCTTAAAAAATAAAAGTAAAATAGCTGGACATGGTGGTGCACACCTGTAATTATAGCAACTGAGGAGTCTGAGGCAGGAGGATCACAAATTCAAGATTAGCTTGGGCAACTCAGCAAGACCCTGTCTCAAAAAATAAAAAGGGCTGTGGACACAGCTCAATGATAGAGCACCTTTGGGCTCAATGCCCAGCAGCAACAACAGTAAAACAAAAGTTAAAAATTATAAATATAAGTTTCATCTTCTACTTGTCAAATTCCAGGCAGTAATTGCAACTATGCATTTAGATATTTAAATTAAATCAAGAATTGAAATTTCAGGATGATTTTTCCAGGAAATTCCCTGACTGGCACAAAGTGACAACATTTACTTCACATTTGACTTCAGTAGTGTTATGATAAAAGGATCTTTTTCCTTCTTTCTTTCTTTTATTAAATATGTCACTTAATGACAGAGACAAGGTCTAAGAAATACATTCCTGGTGATTTTGTCACTACTGTGACAACATCACAAAGTGTACTTATACAAATGCATATGGCTATGATATCACTTGGTGATATAACCTTAAGGGATCACAGTTACATATGCAGTGCCGCATGACTACACATATATACTCCAAGTCTTCATCAAGAAATAAATTAATGATTAAAGGGTAAAACACAGACTCTAGGAGAGAAGCAAAGCCAAAAACGAACTAACACATTCCTTTTTGTTGGCTTAGATTAGTTTGAGTTGGGTTCCTCATATGTATATAAGAGTCTTGACTGGTTTAAAATGCAAAATGACACACATACACAAACACACACAGATACAGGCCTAGAGCCATTGTTCTGAAAAGAACAATTAAAATATTTTTTTAATCTGCAGATAAGCTGGTATGATAGAGTAGCAAACACATAAACTCTAAAGTAATGAAAACTAGGGGAAGCATCATATGTTATGGACTCAGAGAAGAGCCAAAGAACAGTATCACGCATCACTAAACATTCCAGTTTCACAGCGCTCCAAATAGGTGAGGAGCCAGTTGAAGAGACAGCTGGTAAAGATTAAGGGTTGTCCAAAGCCATTTGGTCCTATGAAGGGTATCATAAACATCACTGGAGCCTGAGAGGAAGTGACCAATTATATTAAGAGTAGCTGGAAAAAACTACAGCTTGAGGCCTGTCATGATTGAAGGGATTCACAGAGAACAAAACAGTGACAGCTAATGTACCATGTCGGGAACACGTCTCCACAGGGAGCATGTATAAACGAGCCCAAAGCGAGCCCATTCAATTTTTATTCTCGTTCCACTGTTTGCAGGAAGGCACTCTGGTATTCCACTCTACATAACAGAGTATACCTACACACATCAGTGTCACTCATAAATATATGCAAAATCCTAAATTAAATACTATCAGATCAGTCTGCCATAAAATACTACTACATTGTGACCTCAAAAGCCTGTCCTCTCACCTACCCAATCCCTCTCAGAAAATATTCATGCATGCACACAAAACAGAAACTACCAGGTAGCAACTTTCTTTCATAAGCATAGAAACCCACCTTTGGATTACTTTGCCTTTCACTTTCATTCTGGAGATTTCTCAAGGTCTTTCAAATATTATCCAAGATTATCTGACAATAACCCAACCCAACACAACACATACACACCCAACTCCCCCTCAACTCATGATGCAGTCCAGTCATCTCCTCTCTGTCCTATCATGGCCAAATACTGCCCCCCCAAAAAAAAAAATCTGCTCATTTCCATTTTGTCATCTCTCAGTCATTCCTCAGCTCTCTTAAATTTGGCCTCCATCTCTGCTATTCCACCGAAAAGACCCTTTCTTTGGTCACCCCTGACTTTGCATTGCTGAGCCCAGTGTCAACTCTGAATTCCTTGCAATCCCACCATACCACACCCTTCTGTTTTCTCCCCATCTTACTGATCTTTTCTTCTTGTATATTTTTGCAGCTCTGTGTCCTCCACCTAGCCATTAAATGTTGATTTTCCTCATGACTTTGACTTTAACACACTCTTCACATATATCTTCTTCCTGAAAATTCTCAGCCACACCTCTGTGCATCTGCAGTTCAGATGTCTCCCCTTTGCTTCAGAATCACACACCTGACTGCTATGTGGCATCTCCATTTGGAAAGTCTAAAGGCACCTTAAAAATATTAAATGAATTCATTGTTTTCCTCCTCAAACTGGACACTCATCACCTTCTAAAAGAAGGCTCAGACTCAGATTAACCAACTCCTTCCTGTTCACCCTCTCCCTTGACAGACTCTTCTACATCTCTCAAAGTCATCCTCTACCTTCCCTGACACCACCACCATCCCTACTCCAGAACAAGCTTGCCTTCTTTCTTTCTTTCTTTTTTCTTTTTTTGTACTAGGGATTGAATCCAGGGGTACTTAGCCTCTGAGCTGCATCCCCAGCCCTTTTATTTTTCATTTTGAGACAGGGTCTCACTAAGTTACTTACAGCCTCACTAAGTTGCTAAGGATGGCTTTGAACTTGTGATCCTCTTGCCCCAGCCTCCCAAATCACTGGGATTACAGGTGTGCACCACCACGCCTGGCCTTGCCTAGAAAAGGCAATAGCTTCCTGTTGGCCCTTATGTCTATTCTTGTGCCTTATGTTCCACTCTTTATGATGAGAGAGGGTGGAAATAAATAAAAAATTGGTCACTCCCTCTTTAATTACTAGAATGGCTTCCTATGATCTTCAAAGATCCAAATCAAACTGGCCTGCTGTGCCTCAATTTTCTGGCCTCCGCCTTCCTCCCTAGCATCATTTCACATTGAGCTCTGCCTTACTGTCAATACCCCAGCTATACCTGGCTCCTTCAGGTCAGGAAGTGTGTCACATACCCTGCTGCACATCAAGGGCCTCTGCACATGCTCTCTCTGGGAAGTTCTCTCAGCCCCCGCCCCCAACCCTCCTTTGCTTAGGCTTTCCCTTACTTTACTAATTAAGCCAAGTTCCCTCTCTTGTATGCTTTCATAGTATCACATTCTTTTTTTGCAGCTGCTATCACCAGTGGTAACTGTACACATGTGTGTGATCATGTGATTAATGCCCTTACCCTATTAGAATGGAGTTGCAAAGTTAGGAGCTACTGATTCCCTATCACCCAACCTACTACACGGAAACACATACTAACTATTTGATAAATGTTGTTTTGAAATGAAAAAAAAAAAAAACATAGATTTCCATTACTGCTAGGACCAAGCCAATATTGATATTATCCACACTATAAACTATTGTTTGTGAAATTCTAGACAAGCAATCAGATATGAAACATGATAAATATTTTGTAGAAAGAATAAAATCTTCAATATTTGCAGATTGATTACATAGAAAACTCATAAAAATGAGCAGAAAAACTATTAAAATATTAAGAGATTCAACAATGTCAGTTTTGTGTTGTTCTTATTTTTGTTTCTTTTTATGGTGTTGGGGATTAAACCCCAGGGTCATGAGCGTGTTAGGCAAGCACTCTACCAATGAGTTACATCTCCAGTCCCAATGGAGAAAAAAAAAAGAGAGAGAGAAAATTTTTAAAAAGAGAAAAAATAATCAGCATTCTAATGTAAAAGAAATACCCTATTATTACATCACAGCAATAATAACCCAACTGATGTTCATTACGTACCATGAACCAGGCATTATGATTAAACACTTCTCCAATATCACCTATTTAATACTCACATTTAATCCTTTCATTATTCCCAGTGAGGTAGGCATGGCTTTCCCCATTACATAAAAATGAACCACCCATCTACAAATTTCAATAAATATCTCAAAGAGAGCAGCAGAGCAGGGGTCAGACCTCACAAGTCCATTTAGTACTAGCCTGTGCTGTTAGAAAATATATAGGTAAAGACAACAACAGTATAAAATATGAAAGGACTTCGGTAAGGAATGTTTATGATGTAGCAAATTCTTCCCAGAGGGCACTAAAAAGGGGTATACACGCGCACACACACACACACACACACATGCAGTGCTGCACACCCGCCCAGCCTACCTACCTCCCTGCCTGCACAGGCATGCACACTTGCACTCGCACATGTATACACACACACATGCACTATGGAAGCTGGAGACTGAGTATGTCTGGATTCATCCCACTTTCAGGAATTAAAAAAAGAACTATCTTGCTATTTGCTACTCTAATGTGAAAGAAGACTTATGCAAGGTACTTCAGCATCAACAATTTCAAAAAACGGTTTTATTTCCCCTATGATGTGAAGATAAACTAGCAAATATACAGAATTTGAAGATGTGGCCAAAATTTTTGTTTTCAGAATTTGTAATTTGTATTTGTTACTCTTCTACCAGAATAGGAGTATTTAAGAAATAACTTCATGGCTTTGAGAATTCATCTCACTGTGATGTCAGTCATCACAGGCTTGTCCTCTCTGCTATCCAAAGTGAGGGTTTAAAAGCCCACATTCACATATAAGTGGACTTGTGGGGGCTCAGGTTCTAGAACTATGATAAAAGAGGTCACAGAGAGGCAAACGTCAGTGATTATAAGAATTGTGTTTGAAATAATGAAATCGAAATAATCAAAATCTGTGCTCCATCAAAGACTTGTCTTATTCATTTTATATTCCTGATATTTAGCACAGAACTCAGTAAAAATTCATAGGGTCTAACAAAATAAGCACTCAATTTCCAGTTTTTGTAGAGAATTTTGGTTCCACACCTTAGCTCTTCAGTTTTATAGAGTTTATTCATTTTTTAAACTTGAACCCAAGAAATTAAAAACATAACTTTTTATAAAGTTATAAAGCTTATTATATTCACTTATATAGTTCAACTAACCAATCCTTTCTAAAGAATGACAAGTTGTTCATTTTCACTTAAGAGGTAGTCAAGGGTTCTCTGAGCTTCCTCAACTGTAAAATTTAGGTTAGTGGGTGCTCAAGGTTCATTTTAATCCCAGAATTGCACAGTAAAGTACACCCTTACAGGGCTAAGAGGCTGCTTAACTGAGTGTTGAAAGATTACCAAATTGAGCTCTGTCAAATTTTGTAAAACAAATTCCAGATTTACAAGACTACAGCAGAAAGAAAGTACCTGTAGCTTAGGGGTAAAGCACTTGTCTAGCATGTGAGAAGCCCTGGATCCCATCCCTAGTACAAGGGGGAAAAAATCAAATATCCATCTGCATACTGAGTGGCATTTCTCACAGTTTTTCTTCCCACAGCAGGACAAAAGGTCCACTGGGAAGATAAAGATAATCTCATTAGTCAAGTTTCACATTGTTTCATAAAACATTTATGCTTTAAATAGATTGCTGTATGTATACACATGGATGTATAACCAATGTGATCCTGCAATCTGTACACGTGGAAAAATGAGAATTCATACCCTATTTGAATCAAATGTATGATATGTCAAGATCATTGTATTGTCTTGAGCAACTAATAAAAAAATAAATAAAATTAAATTTTAAAAAAGTTATTCTATCTACCCTTAAGTACATACTCATGGGAAATTAAAATACATGTCTACACAAAAAGTGTTACATGAATGTTCATAGCATAATATACAAAACATGAAAATAACCCAAATTGCCATCAATTGGTGAATGTCTAAATAAAATGTGGTGTGACCACATAATGGAATACCATTTGACTCCAGAGGCAGCTAAGGATTCCTCTCCTAAATTCCTCCATGTGAAAGGCTGGATGAGACCTACCTCCGGTTGAGGCACATGCCACTCTGGCAATTTTAGAGAAGAGGTGTCAAGAATAGGCTGGTTTAGGGTTGAATCACACAACAACAAGAAAGATAGATACCATTGATTTATGGAGCGAGGATTATGGCAAGGATTGAAAATTCAGTCTCAAGAGCTTAGGAAACAAAAGGTGAGGGGTTCATGTATAACACACTCCAAGATCAATAAGGATTTCCAAGCAAAGGATGCAGGACCCCCTGGGGGAGAGGAAGGTTCTTCTGAGCCAGTGTCTCTGAGGCAGTGGCTCCCTGTATGTTCCTTGCTTTGGCTGGGACTGACTCAGAATGTGCTCAGGTAAATTCTAGGGCAGCTGGCTAGAAGCCACGATGAGGAGTCAGAGGACACGGTGTTCAGGGCCCTGGGTTTCTAGAAAGGCTATCTCTTTCGTGTTGGTAAAAGAACTAGCTTTCTTTTTGATAATTTCTATTCCTTTCAACAGAGCCCTAAAGAATGGCTATCTGTATGTCTGTTTCCTGCTCATCTGCTTGCTTTTGGATCCTGTAGTGCTTAAATAATCCAGAGGGAAACTTCTGTACCCTGAGGGGTCAGGCTACACAAACTCTTCTTAATCCTAACAGGGCTTCCTGCCTATGCATGTCATCCATCCATACACACACATATAAATCATGGTGACTGGTTCCTTCTGCACTGGTTCCTGTCCCAATGTGCAGGACAAGCTCTGACCGAAAGTTGCATCCTCTGTGATAATTCAAGGCTCCCTCGATGTGTATTTTCAATGCCAGATGGATTCGACTTATCCATTCTGCATTTCCCTATCTATCCAATGTTAGCCAGTGAGGCCCAACCCATCTCAGTTATGCAGATTCTTACTGCCCAAGAAACATATGATTTTTTTTTATTAGGTTACAATCCCATTACCTTTTGCCTTTCTAAAATAATAGCTAAAAACATGAAAGAAAAGCCTAGTTTTCAGTTGTTGGAATGACTTTATCCCCTTTAGACTTCTGCTAGTGTGCTTATCTTGTTTACTCAATTTGGTAACTTCTCAAACCACTAGAAAAACATGACATAACTGTCCCTTAAGCAAAGGTTCAAGTACCTCCCAAGCATGTTGCTGTGCAAGGAGTGAAGCCAGCATACTCCCAGTCGTAAGTCATGTCACTGTCCTTCTCTTGGAGAGGGACGTCCAGCTCTCTCGATGCAAGACTCTCGTTACAAGCTTCAATGAGGCATGGCCGCTCTGTGGGCAGCTTGGGGCCTTCACACTCTTCCTCTGGAAGCTCAGTTTCTGTCTGTGTGAATGTGAGCAGCACTCGGCACTTGACCTCTCTCACCTGTATGCCTGGCCCACATGTGGTACTGCAGGCTGACCAGGGATCCGGAATGAACCTAAGGAAAATCACAGGCCCAGGAAAGGAGGTCACACACAGGCTGTAACAGGAATAGTGTCAGGCAATCAACAAAGGAAAACATAACCATCTGCCTTCAGAGGGAATTCATTTGGGGTGCTACACTTCTATTATGCAGTTAACTATCCATTATGCAGTTAACAAACTTTCAGATCTTATAAACAACAGAAAACAAAAAACTATGCCCTACTCTTGCATCTGTATAAAAAATCAAATTCTGTGCTATGATAAGAACAAACTATTGTTACAAAAGTTTATGTTTTCAATATTTAGTAATAAATAAATCATCATGTAGACATAAATTCTAATAGGAGTTTAAATTCTAATAAAGTTTTCTTTGCAGCCCATCCCTCCTTCTACCTCCTTTAATTTATTTTAAAATATGGAGATTTTCACCAATATTTATTCAGTGAGTCTTTTCCAAACTTATTTATATACATATTTTAATTGTATATATATATATATATATATATATATATATATTTTTTTTTTTTTTTAAATTGTAGTTGGACACAATACCTTTTTTTTTATGTTGTGCTGAGGATCGAACCCAGGGCCTCGTATGTGCTAGGTGAGCGCTGTACCACTGAGCCACAACTCCAACCCCATGAGCTTATTCTTTACAACAGATGTTGTAAAGAGATGGTGTAAAGAATGTTTCAATGTTTAGGGGCTAACCTATAGGCTATCTTATATGCCTTTTGCAAAATACACAAAGCTTTAATATTCTTTCATATTTACTATGTTAATGCACTAAGATGCTGAATCTTCTTTAAAATATTAAAGGTATTTCACAATCTGGCTGAATGAAGCACTTGTTTCTTATCCTAAATTATTACCCACTAAATCAAGGGTGGCCAAATGATGGACTTTGGATATATATATCTAATATGATTTTATCTGTATTACTTCTTCTTATTGTTATATCCACACAATTCTTACTCTCTCCCCACTACTCCTAGTAATATATTTTTTTAAAGGCAAGAAAGGAACATAGTCATATGAGAACACTGAAGAGCCACTTCCAGGTGAAACACACCCAGAGGACAACAGTGTGTTCCCTGCATCTCTGTACAACAGAAGCCTTAAGAACATGAATTCACTCACATGGGAGTTTAGATATGAGACAGTGAAACAATGGAATAAAATGGAAAACTGCAGAGCTGAGGAAACCAACTGTGAAATGTAAAAAGACAATTAGAAATCTAAGAAGTAATTCAGGGTCTGGGGACGTGGCTCAAGCAGTAGCGCACTCGCCTGGCATGCGCAGGGCACTGGGTTCGATCCTCAGCACCACATAAAAATAAAATAAAGATGTAAAAAAGAAGTAATTCAGAACAAAGGAAAAAAAGCAGAAAAGACATGACTGAAGATCAAACTGATGACACAGGGAGGACTTAGAAGTTAATATGGTGTTCAGAAAGAAAGAAAAGAAGTAATTAAAGATATTAGGAGGTAGAAGGAGGGATGGGCTACAAAGAAAACTTTTGTTGGTGATGGAAAATGGAGATCATAACTATTTAGTAATGGTAACCAATTTAAATGGATTAAATTCTCCTATTAAAAAGAGTCTCTGATTTATGAAACCATAGACGATACAAATAAAATGAAATGACTTCATAAACATAAAATGTATAAGGATAAGCAAAATGAGATTTTAAAATACAAATTAAAATAAAACAGAAGGTCAGAAAAGCAGATGCACATATTAGGAAAGAATAAACAGAACAGACAAAAAATATCACTATTTGAAGATGACCTTATAATTTTGAAAAAACAGTAAAATTAACTGAAATTTTTCGGAAAAAAATGAAAGAATTTAATAAAGTAGTCTATAACTATAAATGTATGTGTATCTGTAAAGAAATACAGATATATAGTGCATATCCTAAAATTACCAGTTTTCCCAGAATTCAGCTAACAATGTTTGCTGCCAGGCCATATGCTAAGCATATTACATGTATTATTTAATATAATTTACACAACAACTTCAGGAGTTGTCATTATTTTCCTATTTTTACAAATGAGAAAAACCTTTAAAAGTATAAGAAAAATTACTTAAAATCCATGAGTTTGTTATGTATAAGAAATATGCAGACCTGATACAACTAAAACTTTAAAAACCTGAGGAAATTCTGTGCCCAAAGACAAAGTACGCTTTATTCCCTGAACAGGAAGAACTCAAAATTACAAAGATGTTTGTTCTCCTTTGCTTAATTTAGAAATAATGCAGTTCCAGTTCTGACATCTAAGGCAATTTGGGCAGGGGTATGGAGGGGGGGGGGGAGGGCGGACAGACACAGACAATACAACTCTAAAATTTTATAGAATGTTAAGTGAGTATGGGCTGGGGATGTGGCTCAAGCGGTAGCACGCTCGCCTGGCATGCGTGTGGTCCGGGTTCAATCCTCAGCACCACATACAAACAAAGATGTTGTGTCCGCCGAAAACTAAAAAATAAATATTAAAAATTTTTTTTTAAAAAAGAGTAACTGCACAGCCTGATTAAAACGATAAAATAATTCAAATAGTATGGCACCAGTAATGCCATACTTTACAGAATGATGACATTTTAAAATCAAAATGAGTAGTTTATTCAATAGATGGTGCTAAGTTATGAAGTTGTTTGGGAAGAAATTAAGTCAGACTGATTTTTTACTATGACATGTCAAAGTAAATTCCTTCTGGATCAAAGCTCAGTGTAAAATATAAAACCATAAAAATTACTAGAAAAGAGTATTTTTTAAAAAAGGTAACTTCCCAGCAGGCCCTGAGGGCACATGCCTGTAATTCTAACAACTTGGGAAGCTGTGGCAGGATGATCACAAGTTCAAGGTCAGCCTCAGCCTGAGCAACTTAGTGAGATCTTGTCTCCATAGATAGATAGATAGATAGATAGATAGGGCTGGGGATGAAGCTCAGTGGTAAAGCATCCCTGGGATCAATCCCCAGTCCCCCCCCACCACCAAAAAAAAGATAATTTTCCAATGTTAATTAAGGTGTTTCAGGAAAAAAGATGAGCTTTGTTACTGCTGCTGGCAGGAGAAATCAGTACCGATTTTCTGAAAGGAAATGTGACTGTAGAATTTAAATGCCTTCAATGTGTCTGCCTGTTTTCTGGCCCAGAAACTCCACTCCAGCAAATATTTCCTAATGAGACAATTAGAGATGTGTCATCTGGGATTTGTTGCTGTTTTGTTTATCACAGAGAATAATCAGAAACAAACTGCAGACAGCCAGAGAGATCTTTCTATAATGCAACCCAGCAGCAATTAGGTTCTTTTCCTTCAATGGCTGCCACTGCCTCCAGAAAAATCCAAGCTCCTTAATGAACCACAGAACATCTCCAGGACTTGCTCACTTCTCCACCTGCAACCCTGCTGCTATCACTGCCCCACTCCACCCCCTGGCTTGTTTCCACACTCAGACTACCTAAACAGTCTACACACAAGCTACTCCAAATATCTGAATTGCTGTTCTTCTGACACCTCAGGACATTAGGATCTCAATTCCTGTATGATCTCTCCCAGGAAGCCATCCCTGATTCTTAAGGATACATGATGTCATCTTACCATAAGGTAATCACAGTACACTGTAATCTTACACTCCACAAAATACCATAGTATAGCACTTACTTCTCTGTCTACTCCATTAGACCAACCTTGGATTGGTGAGACTTGAATTGGAGTCATCTGACATGAAACTGCAGTTCTTCCCAGTACAGAGTGAGTCTCCCTTATCCAAAATGCTTGAGACCAGAAGTGTTTCAGATATTGAATATTTTTTATTCTGGAATATTTGCATATACTTAATGAGCTATCTAAAGGGTAGAATCCAAGTATAAACACAAAATTCATCTGCTTCTTATAATCTTTATACATATATCTTAAAGATACCCATCACCATGAGGTCAGATGTGGAATTTTCTATTTGTGGTATCATATCTATGCTCAAAAAGCTTCAGAGTTGAGAGCACTGTGAGTTCTGTATTTTTGGATTAGGGATGCTCAACTTGCACCAATTGTGTAGAATCATTGTCCACTACGGGATAGCTCTGAAATGGTGAACAATTCCTTATTCTTTCTGTGCCTTGGCTTCCTCTGCCCAAAATGAAGACAATAATAATATTATAGGATTGTTGTGAAAATTGAGAATTAATCCATGTTGAACCCTTAAACATGGTCTGGCATAAAAGAAGCCCTCAATATTTGTCATTGTTTAGCAAACAGATTCCTGGCATACAATCTAATTTGATTTTGGCACAGACAATTTCAATGGAGAAGCTAAAATAGTAGTGAAGAAAACATGCAAAGTGACTGTCTGGTTTCTTTAGTGTTCACATATGAAAAATGGGAGCTCGGACAACAAAACTGCAGAAGTGTTGAGAATCCCATAGAAATGAAGAAGGCTCCAGGGAGGAACTTAAAACAACTTCCAACCGATGAACCATATCGACCATGGACACATTCCACAGCTGAAAGCTAAGGTTGAAACTGCAATTCCCTTCCCTTGGCTTAAGTTTATAAGCTAAGCTATAATTTTTATTTTCCTAATTAAAAAAAAAAGCCTTTTGAACATCCGCTCCCTATGTAAATTCAGAGCTTGGGCCATGGTAAGCAGAAATGTTTATCTTCTCCAGGCTGGTTTGGCAGGCTTTCCTCCAGGGATCTAAAATACAGCTGTGCTCATCTCCTCGTCCATTGTCAACAGTAAGCATCCCCAAGCCACAAAAGACAGTGGTAATAAAAGGATGAACTGGAAGCTGAGATACGCTGTGGTTTTGTTTGGAAATTGAGGGAATGAACAGAGTCAGAAGTGGCAGGAAACTATAAACTTTACACCAGACAGCCAGGAACAGGCCAGAAACTGGCAGGCAGTGTGAACTGCACAGGAAGATTGCATGGAGCCCTCAGAGGGGGAGATATGGGAAGGTAGGGAAGAGGCAGCTGTGCACATTGGAGGATCAGGTGCTGCTGGCCCAGTCTTCCAGGCTGGGAGAGAAGGGTGGTGGCATCCTTCAGGGGTAAAGAGCGTATTAGCTCTGCTTGTGGACAGGGGAGGAAGAACCCCCAGCAAAGTCAATGGGGCTGACGGAAACTATAGATTTGGAATGACTATGAGCTGAACCACAGTAGCTTATGCAGCACTGCCCTTTTCTAATTCAATAATATGAACAGTATTTTCTGATTTTGGAAGGGACTTTGGGAGCATCTGATCCAGTGGTTCCCAAAATTGGATACATACCCCACCCACCTCTCAGAGTCACCCGGGGTGGGGTGCTTGTTTAAAAATGCTGGTGACTGGAATTTGTAAAGACAGAAGAATAGAAGGTACCAGGGTCTGGGGGTGGAGCAGGAGGGAAGTAAATGGGGAGTTATTATTTATTGGGTTCAGAATTTATGTTGGGGATGATGAAAAAGTTCTGGAGATGGATAGAACAACAGTGTGAATGTATGTAATGCCACTGAACTGTCTACTTTAAAATGGTTACAATGGTAAATTTTATGCTGATAAGGTCTTACTATAATAAAAAAAAATCACAGATCCAAAAGAAAAAAAAATGTTGGTAATAGGTCTCTACTCTCAGTGTCTGAAACAGAAATCAGAGTTTAAAAAGTAACACAGGTGATTCTGATAGAGGTGATTTGAGGACAACCATTTAAAAAAATGATATTTTTATTATAAAAAATACTCTTTCCTTTTTATAGATGCACGTTGAAGTGTTTATGAGTGACATGTCATGTCGTCATGTCTGTCAGGGTGGGAACAGTATTGGTGGTATAGATAAAAAAGAGTGGTTTTGAGGTGATAGTTGTTGACAGTGAGTGATGAGCACATGGGGGTCCATTATAATATTCTTCTATACAGGTTTTAATTTTTCTATAATATAGAAGTTTTTAAGAACACAATATGAGGGGCACATTCTCAACAGATAAGAAAGAACAGTGAAAGGGGTGGAGGTGAGGGACAATCTGCTATGGGCAAGAACAGCCAACAGGTCTGTGCGGCTGAGTGTCCCTTTCAAGCCAAAGCAAGAAATTGGCCAGGGAAGGGGCTGGGCCCAGGAAGGGCAACTCCCTTTAAAGTGCTGGCCTATTGAACAAAGATAAATCTTTAGGTGATGAGGATGCATTTGGATATTCTGAATATTGCAAAGGAAGAATAAGATCTATGCCTTAGTAAGACTAGTCTGGTGGCTATATTGAGGGTAGAAGAGGAACAAGTGAGGAACAAACGACAAAGCTGTGGTAGGTATCTTGGTAAGCAAATTCAGGTCCTGGATGGGGATGGCAATAGAAACGGAGAGGAGGAGCTGAAACCAGGAAAGATTTTGGTAAATATCATCAGGATCCAGTAAGACCCAGAACTGTTCTGGACTAAAAAGTCTTATGACTTTCCTTGCAGGACCACAAACGTGCTCCTTTCTGGGATCTCAAGTCCCTTTCTTTCTATAGGTTCCCTCCTCTATAATACTGTGGCGAGCAGAGTACATGTGTGCGGTGGGTGGGTGGGTGGGTTCCAGCAGTTTAGCCCAATGCCTTCCTCATACAGTTGGAAACCTACAGATGTTGACTTACTTGTATAAAATCCTTATTATCTTTTTAATAGGTCAAGACTGACCTAACTTCAAATGAAAAATGACAACCAAAAATCACATATGTATACACACCCTTTTCTATCAGCCTATCAATCTTCACTCTTTCCTTTAGGAGACAATTACTCATTGTCTCATTTCCTTCATATTTGGAAATTCACTTCTTAAAATATCCACAATGCTTCCTTCTCTGACCTTTGAATGATGCTACTGTAAAATTACCTGGAAATGAATTTCCTATCAATGAATTTACTTTCTCTCCTTCCTCCAATTTTTCCTTGACCTTCTGAGATTTGAATCCTATCTGCTACCCCTCCTGAACCCTGGACTTCTTCAGTCTCTGTAATAATGAGTTTTTATGGTTTGAACACATTACTTTACTCCACTGCCCATCTTTTCTGGTTCCCCTTGATCCTCTAGACCTCTGGGATCTGTCATGAGCCCAACACTCCTCTCTTCCTTCAGTCACTTTGGGGTCATTCACCCTCAGAGCATCCAGTGTCTTCTGTGGTCATTTTTGGGCCTGACATAGGTCCATGTGGAAAAGTCTGACTGTGTCATCACTGAGATGTGCCAGTGCTCTTGGCCTGATCACTAAAGGCATAGTGCCTTCTCACAGAGAAGCAAGCCACTGTCTCCTGGGATTCACAGCTGGACTGGACCACAGTTAGAAAGGACATTGACAAATGAGAGAATGTTCTGAAAAGAGCCATAAGGTTGGTAAGGGATCTAAAAACAACACATGGAAACTGCTGAAAAGGCTAAGAATGATGAGCTTGGAAAAGACAAAGCTCTTGGGATCCATGACAGCTTTCTTCAAATTCATGAAAACTTGTCACGTGGAATAGGAAGTAGATGTATGGTGTTTTTATTTTTTCTGTTTCAGAAAACAGAAATTAGAAAGAGGTATATTTTGGCTCAGCAGGAGAAAAAAAAAAAGTACTGCAAATAATTTGGGTTGTTCAATGTAAGAATGAGTTGTAAACTCTGCCCATTGCTGAAGGTGCTAAAAAAGAAATGTATGAGCTATTATGAGGAAATAGTCCCAGAGCTGCCTTAGTGTGGGGAAATGGACCCATAGTACCATGCAGATTCGAGTTTAGAACCACCAGTGCTCACTAACCATGTGGCCTTAGAGAAGTCTTTAAATTTTCTGTGTCTCACTGTCCTTATTTACAAAAGGGGCAGGTTGGGCTTGATCTCTCAGGGAAATGGGCCAGACTGCTGCTGAGATCTCCTCTCCTGTCTCATTCTGCATGTTCTACATGTTCTCTGTGGATAGCTTCTCATTGCCACAGACTCAACATGTCTGACATGGAACCAGCTATCCACTACTCGAGTCTATCATTGGTGCAGCTATTCTAATAGACTTCTGTGCTAAAAATTTCAGAGCACCTTGGCTCCTTCCTTGCTTTTGGTCCCTATATTTTGGCTTCCACAGAGCTTCTTTGATTTGCTCTTGATTCTGCATTGCGACTGACACCTGCAATCCAGACTTGTACCCTGTGGATAGCAGTCACTGAAATTTTGAATTGGAATGGATCCTGGAGAGATTGAGTTCAACCTACCCCTTTTATAAATAAGGAGAATGTGACACAAGAAACTATAAAGACTTGTCTAAGGTCACATAGTTAATAGCAATTGATATAAGTCCTGATACCCATAATGCCATGTGCTTCCCATTGCTCCATACCACATCAGCCCTGGATTGCTCCTTATAAGCACTCAGGTCACCTGGATTCACTTCAACATAACTGGTTTTGTAGAGTTTGGCCAAGATTTAACTATGGAATGACTAGTTTATTTGCATAATACTGTCATGGTCCTTGGTTAAATCATGTGTTAATCTAGAAATTATCCCCATCTCTTAATTGCAACACAACACTGGGTCTGCTTTGAGTTAAATGACACTGTTCTTTTCTGTGCTTCTCACAGATACTGCCAAAGTGGGATGCTGAGTTGTGAAATATAGAAACATTCTAGCCAACTCAAGCTCTCTAGAGTCTGCAAACCCAGGTCATTTGGATACTGAATGTATCATTGCACTCTGATGAGTACAAAAATTACACATATCATGTTATTACTCCCACAAATGGCCCTGGACTCACGTTGGTTCTTCTGTTGCTATTCTGGTCTCTTCTAATTCTTGTGCTTGTTTCAGCCAAGGTAACTTAGCTTCCACTGGACTTTTTTCTAAGAAAAAAATGAACACAAATAATAAGCTTAATTATTATCAATCATAAGTTTTTGTATATATGAATCACTATTGGCTGAAAATGTCATTAATAAAGAGGTCATGTTTTTCAAATGCAAGTCGAGTCCTTCAGCACAGTACATTAGGTGAATTCTGGAATTAATAAAAATTTCTGCCATGTTTTTAAATTAACACATTACAAAATGCAACCCAAATGATCCCCATGATACATTTGAATGTGTTCTCAAAATTAAACATAAAAATGCCTTTCATAAATCAATACCATTTTCTGTTCTTTGCATATTAAAGCTCTTAACTTCAACAATATCAGCTTGCTTTCTTTTGCCACAAATTCTTTTGTCCACTGAACAAAGAAATTAATAGAGAAAAACAAATAGCATGGAGGTTAATAAAGTGGGAGTATGAGAGAGTGTGTGCTATGGTTTACTCAAACTTTAATTGTTGCTAAGGGAGATGATTAGTAATTACATCTGGCACGAAGGAGCAAACTGGTGCCTCCTTCTGTCCTTTGAAGCCTCCTTAGATGTGAGGAAAGAAACAAATCTAGTTGTGAAATAAGACAGAAAATAATTTTGGGCTGCTGCTCTAGGGAAATTACAGATAATAAGAAATTGTCTATGAAAGTACCATGGAATACAAAAGAAAGGAGAAAGGGCTTTACTGACAGTTATATAACGTGTACACCTGTCATGGCAAATGATGTTATTTTCTGTGAGAGAGACTCAGTCAAGTATGTGTTGATTGAATGGTAATTGTGAGATTATTTGAATAGATAATGAACCCAAAAATAAAAAGGGAGAATTTTAACATCCTTCTAAAATACTAAAGAGGAATCCTCTTTATAAATAGGTGAGAACAATTTTTATCCGTTTCAAGAAGGAAGCTATTTGTTATAAGGATTGATAGTGCCTTCCTAACATATAAGAAAGTAATCGTATACAGAAAGGAGAATATATTTGATCAATGAAGCCAAGACTTGTTAACCTTCTCTGATAGGAACTATTGGAGAAATTCTAAATGCACTCATAGTCCTCAGTCGGGAACCAAAAATCTTCATTTCAAGCACTATGACACATGATGACCATGCCAGTGTTCCTCCTGCAAGAGATTTAATGCTTCAGTGGAGGAGTGTATACAAAGTACTGTGAGAACAAAGGAGAAAAAATCTTGAGGAGCAGAACAGCCGCCTCCACCGCCTCTTCCTCTGCCACTTCTTCCCTTTTTCTGCTCTTCTTCCTCTTCCTCTTTTTCCTTCCTCCCCTTTCTTTTCTCCTCCTTGTTTTCTTGAAGGCAGGAACTGCATCATATTATTTGATGCTCATCAAAGAAGTACATAGCACAAGTGTGCACAGATAGGAACCACTCTCTATGTACCAAACCCACAGGGGCTCAGTTTTGCCTCCTCAATAAATCACATATGCTCAATTTCTTAATCAAGGTGGACAACTCCACTGCAAACTGTCATTAAGACACTTTCTATTAGAATATAAGCGGAAATAGAAAAAGCTGTGATATTGGAATGAGATCTGGAAAACATCATTTGATTTAAATTAAAAACAACAAAAATTTACCTTTTGGTTTATGACACGGGATGGGAATGACACATTCCTCTTTGATGTGCAATTTCAGTTGTGGATTGCAGCCCCCAACGTGCTGTCCACGATGGTTGATACAGAGAACCACCCGGTAACGTAACCCTCGGCCACAAGTCACTGTGCACTTCAAAAAAGGTAATGAGGAGACGGTGAGTTTCTTTTTCATGAAAAGGTCTACAAAGGCATTATTTTATCATATGCAAAAGAAAACCATTGATCTACATAAATATTAAACATAAAATATGTCCAAATATGTAATATATAATAAAGGGGGCAGAGGCTGTTTTTCTGAGATTCCTGTTTCCAGGCCCCTCCTATACAAGCCTGCTTCCAATTCTCAATTCACAAACTATTTAAGATGAGATCATAGCACAAGAAAAATAAATGTTCTGAAATCTTATTTTGCTTTGTATCAAATATCAAAGAAACTCAATTCAGGTTTTCTTAGGTTTGATTAAATTTAATATGATATTATCCAAAACAAGTTGTGAATCTGGAAGAAACATTTCCAAACTATAAATACAAAAATTACATTTCAATCAACCATGCTAGAGTGTTAAACTTTCCATTCTGTGTACAGAAATTGATGTTGCAAAGCCATGGTCATATGAAGAGACCATCAAAGAGTATTCGGTTAAACAATATAGGCAAAAATACTACAGATGTGTCAATTAGATAAAACATGCTAATGTTTTTCTGAGTTTTTTGTGAAGTTTGTAATTATTAGCCTTTTTCTTTGAATTGTTTATGATTTAAAAGTTACTCTTCCCTATAAATGGAATGTTTTCATGTCCTGTGAAAATCTAGGACTTTTTTTTCTCCCTCACACTGGGGATTGAACCCAGGGTTGCTCTAACACTGAGCTATATACTTATTATTATTATTATTATTATTATTATTATTATTATTATTATTATTTTGACATAGGTGCTGGCTAAGTTGTCCAGGCTGACATGAAAATTGCAATCCTCCTGCCTCGGCCTCCTGAATTTCTGGGATTATAGGTGTGTGCCACTGTGCCCAGCTTCTACAGTATTATTTTTTAATTTATCTACATATATTGGTGTTATGGTTTAGCTCCATAATGTCCCCCAAAGTCTCATATGTTGAAAATGTGGTCCCCAGTGTGGGAATATTTAGAGGTGAGACTTCTAGAAGTAACAGGAATATGAGAGTTCTGATCTCATCAGTGGATTAATCCATTGAGGAATTTGCAGCTGACTCTTAGGAGATACAACCTAGTTGAAGGAAGTGGATTCTTGAGGGCACGCCCTTGGGGACTATCTCTTGCCCCCAGCCCCTTCTTCTCTTTCTGCTTCCCAGGCACCATATGTGAGTACCTCTCCTCCCCACACCCTCCCGCCATGATGTTCTGTTGCCCAAACAATGGAGCCAAGTGACTATGGACTGAAACTTCTGAAATAAATAAATCTTTCCTCCTTCTTGTTATTCAAGTCAGGTTTGATTATAGCAATGGATAGCTAACATAGTTGGTGAGTACAAATATGTACATGTTTAAGTTAACAGATTTTTCATGTTTTGAGATCATGTTAGGTTCATAGAAATATGAGCAGATAGTACAGCATTGTTCTATGCCCCCTTATCCCTTTTTTTTTCCTTTATCATTAACTGACTTATGTAGCATAGTTGCTACAACTATGGAATCAATATAGTAGTGTCCCTTTGTACGGGTTTCACTTTCTACATTGTCCCCTCTTCAGCAGCCTCTCTGAGAAGCTGGACTCCTACCAAGGAGGCCACTAGAGTCCATGGTATTTCCAGAGCTTCTCTTTGTAGCTGAATATATCCCAATGCGAGCAAATCCTTATCACTGAGAATATATTTCTGAAAAAAACTGAAAGGCATTAGGAGCCAAGTATAGTGAATGAGATGAGCTGGTTAACAAACTTTTTTTACATTAAAAGTGATGAAAAAGTGGTGATATTTATGGGAAGGCATACAAGCTCTTAAATCAACAGAATGCATGTTTTCTAGGACTCAAAGGGCTAATGACTGCCTATGCAGGTAGGAAAAGCACAATTGATTGAAAAAGTGCAAGTCCCTAGGGACTGAGTAACAAGTCCTTTTGCAATTGTGGCGGTATTCTTTGCATTCAACAATATGGAAAGAGAATTCAAGCAAATTGTGAGCTGACAAATCATTAAGAATGATTTTTTATGATAGACTACCACATGGATTTGGGCATATAACTCAGGAGTTAAAAGAACTAAATGAATTTGCTGAAATAAATTCCTTTAAGTCCAGTCTATTTAGGTGATCAAGTCTTCCAAGGGTGTGTGTGTAACACAAAAGGAAAAAAAAAGCCAACAATAAACATTAACAAGAAAATTACTGTTCAACCCATGTGTCATTCTGGTAATGGATACATGTACCATTTTTAAAGACTCACTCATCTTGAAGAAAGACTGATTTCAAATGAAATTTTACTTTTTATGTGTAATCACATTTTACCAAATTTGAAATAAACTCATGTTGGTTTTATTGGATATTATATTTAATAATAACCGAATCTAGGGGAACATTCTTAACATTAAGAGCCTTGTGGCCGCAGGAAACTAAAAAAAATGAAATTACTCTATGTACTTTCTTGGAGAGAGTACCATAGAGTTATCAATAAGAAACTTTAAGGCACAAAAATGCATTAGATTAGGTTAAAATTCTATAGGGGGAGCAGATTGAAAATATGATTTAAAGGGGAGAAACATGTGAATATTTGAATTGTTAAAAAGTTTGTTCATGTTATTTAAATGAAAGATGGCACAGAGAGAAATCATCATGACATTTAGGTTCCACTGGACACATTTTTAAACATGTTATAACACTCTTACTTTAAAATGTCAGCATTCACAGCATGTTGGAAATGATATTCTTTGCAATTACTCAGACTTATAATAAAAAAATTTAGATGTCAACCTAAATATACAAAAATGGATATGCAATTTTTTAAACTTCTTTTGGAGGTTATGTGAATAAAAATGAGTCAGTAACCTCTACCCTAATAAGTATGGGTGAAGTTCTACAGGGGGACATTTGGTTGGAATATCAGAAGAAGATTGAAGTGGTCCTTCACCCAGCCAACTCATGTGTCCACAAGTCCCAGTATAAGTGCTGCCTCCTGTCTGAGCCTTTTCTGACACCTTCTGGAGGAGCAAATCTCTTTACCTTGTACCCCTGAAGTACTGCATGCAGAAGGCCAACTCCTGTCTCCTGTTACACTGTATCACAACTATTTGCCTGCTTGCATATCTGTGCAACTGAGCTTTAAACTTTTGGGAAGTAGGAGCAAGTTTCACTTATCATACATGGTAGTTGACATTCTAAATAGATGAGCAAATATATTAATGCATGTATATTACAGAGATCACACAAAAGAACTAGAGACACTTGAGTCAATTATGTCTGATTCTCTAGGAAATTGGAACATCAAGACTAAAATACTAAACACCAGTGCTGCATTTTTCATCTTTGACTAATCCTCTTGCACTGTATTTGTTCTGAAGGCCTACTCTTTCAACTCACTAGAAAGTAGAAATGCACTAATCTTGCTGGGTACAGGGGCACATGCCTGTAATCCCAGTGGCTTGAGAGGCTGCGACAGGGAGCATCGCAAGTTCAAAGCCAGCCTCAGCAACTTAGTGAGGCCCTTAGCAACTTTGAGAGATCCTGTCTCAAAATTATGATTCAGTGGTTTAGTGATCCCGGGTTCAATCCCTGGTTCAAAAAAAAAAATTATCAACTATGCTAATCTGACTTGAGGTGCCAGTGTCAGGCTATTTCACCTCAATTACTTAAAATACATTATTTTCTTCAAAACACATCATAAAGCTTAATATGATTGGATCAAGGACACATTTTTAAATGTCATGTCAGCATTTTCATCTTCAATGTTCCAATTCATAGTAACATGGGTTCTCCAATCTTGATGAATTATGGGCTTGTCAACTTCTAGTCACTTCATGTGATTCCTCCCTTTCTTCAGCCATCTCTGCCTGGCCACCTGCCATAGTCCTCTTTGGGCTCTTGCTTGTTCAGATTTTACATATTTTTAAGGCTAAGCACTAAGGGCAGCAAAGACCTTGTGACTAACTCTATTTCAACCCCTGTTCCTTCCAGCTCTACCACAGTCCCTAATAATAAAAATTCTTACCAACAGTGATGATTTAGTCTCTCTTATATTGTCCTCTGTCTTCCAGAGTTCTTTAGGAACAGGGACCATATTCACATACAGCTTCTGTTACCCATGTGGGCCAATACAGTGTCGGACACACAGCAAACATTCCTTAAAACCTAAGTTGTTTTTCTTGTTGTTTTTAACCAGGGATTGAACCCAGGGCCACTTAACCACTGAGCAACATCCTCAGTTGACTTTTTACTTTGAGACAGGGTCTCACTTAGTTGCTCAGAGCCTCACTAAGTTCCTGAGGTGGGCTTTGAACTTACGATCCTCCTGCCTCAGTCTCCTGAGCTGCTGGGATTACAGGTGTGCACCACTGCACCTAGATAAAACCTGAGATTTAATTAAAAGTAGCATGCTCTCAAATCTCACCTGAGACCACTCCATGGCGATCCACTTGGGGCAATCGAATAGGTTGCAGGTCTGCATAACCTTGGGCTTGGGTGCATACATGCACTTCCATTCTTCCACCTGCAGTATCTCTGCATGCATGGACTCCTCCACACACACAAAGCTCCGTCTCTGGATCCCTCCTCCACAGGACACGGAACATGCAGTCCAAGGATTATGTTCCCAGCTCAAAAGCAAACAAATAAAAATACATTATTTTTTTGTTGTTTGTTCATTTCAAGTTTGCAAAAGTGGGTGCAAAAAGTATGGCCTCAAGGTGTCAGTTGGCTCAGCTAAAAAAGCATGAGACCTGGAGTCAAGATGTTAATCATAACTGCCACACAGTCTGTAGACACAAGAAACTTATCTCCTCTGAACTTTAGGTTTCTGCCAAATGAGAATAATACACTTGCCCTACTTACTTTCAGGGGGCCATTGTGAGAATTTGATTAAATTTTAAATGATCCTTTTAAATTCTCAACTATAAACCAATGGACCATATTATTAGAGATTCACAGAAATTCAAAATCAGAAAGAATCACACTAGTCATCTAAGTGTCGAAGGGGATTCAAATTTCTGACCAATTGCAATGCTTAAGCTCCTTCTCTGATACCAGTCATCCAAGACATGCTTGATGCCGCCAGTAATGAGAAACATCACCTTTTCAGGCAGACTATTCCATCTAATTGTTACAAAGATCATTCTGATTACTGAGGTGAAATCTGTTTTCCCTTAGCTCTGAAAAGATCTAATTTCTGTCCCTGGTACACTGCAGGCTACTGCTACAGAGGCTACAAATACTTGAAAATTACTTAGAGTAAATTACAAAAAGGAAAAGGAAGCATAGAACTCACCGAGGGAGAGGTTGAAAGTGGTCATAGGGCATAATCTCTTTAAAGCCATCACTACAAATAAACCATTGAGAGAATATCATTTCTAAATCAACATATTTATTAAGTAATACAGAATTTGATATTGCAAGAGACAGGACTCTTTCAAATTGAAAACTAGAAATGCCAAATGTTATGAACCATTCACAAAACTTTGACCACCATCACTCTCTCTCTGAGAATTGGACCCATGGACATTCTACCACTGAGCTACACATCCCTGGTTTATTCATTCATTTATTTATTTTGAGGCAGGTTTCTCTGCTTTGCCCAAACTGGCCTTGAATTTATAATCCTTCTGTCTCAGCTTCCCAATTCACTAGGATTTTAGTCATGTGCCACAGTGCCTGGAAGTCACCATATCTTTAATTTTCAGGAATGACTCTAACACAAACGATCCCCAGTTGTATATGAAAACATAAAAAATTGAACTAGTGATATATTAATCAAAGGGTGAAATTATCTTGGATAAATATAGTCCTTCTCATGGTCATTATAATAAGATATATTAATGATAAAACATGCAGTAATGTTAGTAGAATCTTCAAAACAGTTTTATTTCACAGAGCTTGTCCTTTGAAAGATCTCTATCAATAAGTATGTTGAATCAGGATTACAGGGAATGGGCAGGCAGCGATAGGAAATGAAATCCACTGAGAAGGCTTCCTTTTCCACTTGTACACTTTTGCCTTAGCCAGCTGGCATATATCTGGGGGATTCTGGGACTTGATACTGCACTGTTATTTTAAGATACTGTAGTGCAGCCAGGAAACTTCCCCAGGCAATCCAAGTCAGCAGGTACTAAATTATGCAACAGGACAGTTGATGCACAGCTTTTCTGCTTTGGCATTAAAACTTTTTGCTCCTTTGCACAATGCATTATTTATACTGAATCTCGTGTGAGCACTTCAAAAGTCAAAATGTGGTAATGGGTGACCCAGTTTCATGGCTAACTTGAGAGTGAAAGATATTTTATGACTGACCTATGGACTAGGCATTACACTTGAATAAAGATATCTTTAATATTGGATACGCAGGAGATGCTCAAGAAGGTTCATTATAAAGAGCTTAATGGACACATAATCCCACAGTGAGAGAGCCTGCCTGAATGACTAGATTGACAAATGTGTCCTAATTCCCACTGACCATGTTTACAAATATAAATGCAGCCATTGTATGTTCAAAGTCAGGAAATGGAAAAATTTTGTCCTTCAAGAACTAATCAGTCCCAGTGACAGTTGATTCATTTATTTTAAAAGCAAAAAGGGTGGTGTGGGCAGTTTTACAAACCTTGACGGGCAAGGATCCATGCTGCATTCCTTCAATTTTGGTTTGGGTTTTACATTTTCAGGGTAGTAATGGCAATAGTGGTCAGGAACCACCCTCTTCAAGCGGATATCCACACACTCAGCAGAGTTGAGCTGATAACCTAAAGATGTAGAAGAGGAAAGGCTAGAAACTGTGTCTGTGTCATGATGGCTGGCAAAGTTACCACTTGCCGCACACTTCTTCCTCTTTAAGAAACTGGGTGGTTTTCAACTCTGGCTACATAAGGAACCACATGGGGACTTTGGCTGTACACCAGAGCTCAGGTCCCTTCATGATCCAATTCAATCAGAAGCACTGAAGTTGGGCAACAGGGAGTCAGTACTCTTTAAAAAAATTATCAGGTTTCTCTAAGATGACTAAAATGTGTGGCCAAAACTGAGAACAACTACTAGAGTGGTTCTCTAAGCCCTTGTAAGTAAGAAGTGAAGATGGTCTCCTTTTAAGAAGTGTTTAGACCTCAGGTGCAGTTTCTTCCTTCCTCCTCCTCCTCGTGGCACTGGGCACAGGCCCTCTCTTTTGTTTCCTTGTAATCTCCTTTCTTCCCCTATAGCACTTCCATTCTGATATCCCCCTCCCCTGATATGCTGATATCTTCTCCCCCTCCCCTGATATCCTGATTTAGTTTTTAGGTGTCTTTAAATATATACAACTGTCTTCAATAATGTTGTTTTGTGAGAATCTGTTTTTAACTTAATTGATAATGTGTTTTAAATCTTGTTCCATTTTCTACTTTTTTTTCACTCAACATGTTTTTGAGAACTACCTTTCTTCTAGTTTGTCGCTGTGTTGAATATTTCTTTAATTGATATTCCACTGTTTGCATCTACCATATTTCACTCATCTTCTGCCCTGAGATAGTCAGGGCACTTCCACTGTCAATAACCTTCCAACTGGAGAAGAAAGCACTGGTTAACACAGGAAGGAATAAACTTTATCTCTATACCCTCCCCCAACCCTGCCTCACAAGTTTTCAAAGGGGAAGGAATGAACACTAATTCCTAATTCTATTAAATCTAATTTTTCTTTGAGGAAAGTTAACATTCCATGTACAGGAGTGCTGAAAATTTAAAAAACAACTCACAGAAGGACACTTGCCTTTCGGGAAAGAGCCAACTCCAGGTCTCCTGTCACTACATAAATACAAAGGAAAGTTAAATACTTTTTATTTTTTTAAGTGATTTTTTTTTTCAAACTAGAATGAGCTCTTAAAAAAATTAAAAAATAGGGGCTGGGGATGTGGCTCAAGTGGTAGCGCGCTCGCCTGGCATGCGCCGGCGCTGGGTTCGATCCTCAGCACCACATAAAAATAAAATAAAGATGTTGTGTCCACCAAAAACTAAAAAAATGAATATTAAAAAATTCTCTCTCTCTCTCAGAAATAAAAAATATATAAATAAAGAAGCCCCTATAGCTAAGCTAATGTTAAGCTCTCAGTTTCTATGCATTAGTCTGATGTTATAAAAATACATTTAAAGTCCTGATTGTCAAGAGGAATCTGATTTTATAAACCACTAGACAGCTTTCTACAAGACATGGCTTAGACATAAGCTGAGTAAAGAGGACAGACTGGTATGCATTATGAAAAAGCAAGGTCGAAACCACAAGAATGAAAATCCAAATGGAGTCAATAAAATGTTCCCCGGGTGCCAGTATTTGCCATAAAACCCACAATATCAGATGGCATTGGCAATCCTGGTAGAGAATGATCTCAGGTGTCCTCTTTAGATAATCACAAACAAGACCAAGGAAGTTCATCCAAGTACCTGTGGTACTGCAGAGACCAATGAACTAATTTTCTTGATGATCCCAAAATCTCCGAAATGCCATTCACACAAATCATGTAGATTCAATTACTAATATAATTAAATTTTGGTAATGCTTTCCTTGTGGGTTTTATGTGCATGTTTTTACTTCCCCAAAAACAAGTACAGAATGAGATTACAGCTACTTGAGTCAGAGAAAATCTTTCTCCTAAATGGAAACATTAAAGAGAGACGGGGGACAGACAGGTGTTTCTAATTTGGGGAAGAGAATTAGTTTTCCTCTTTAATTTTATTGCCGTTTAAAGATAACTAAAAGCAAGGAAATAAGGCAGATTGTCTTGGTACTGTAAATAAAAGCAATAAAATTCTTCCAGGGCAGAAAACAGCAGGCACTGCCCAACATGGCAGTGTTCTTTCGCCTGCCACTATATTTGAAGAGGACCTAGCTGGTGGGTGCTCCCTTGCCCATCTATAGTTCCAGCAGGACTCCCTTTCTGTGGAAACCCAAGTGTGAGAAACACCTGTTCTCCTGCCAAGACTTTAATCAACTTAACTAAGCTGGATCCTATTATAAAATATCTTATGGGTCTAAATGGGAATGTCTCTCTGAACAATGTGTGTAAGGGATAAAAAATAAGTTAAAAAGAAATGGATGTTGTTTATCTGCAAAGTAAGAGTAGAAAAAGCTCCCACCATCTCTGCTCTCATTTTGGGGTTTCTTTCTTCCCAGAAACTATGGTGTGCCTGTGTCTAAGGCAATGGAATTCAGCTTCTGAGTGTAAAGTACTATTTGGTGTCTATAGTCTGTCCCACTCACTATAGGCTAGGCTCTCCACCATGACTGTTGAGTTGTGTGCATACACATCACTCAACAACAGCATGATCGGAGAATGCTGGGGTGGGGACAGCCAAGGATCATCACATTTTACACACTTTAGACAGCATTTTAGGTTGAGATTCTGACATAACAAATATTTTCTGAACACTTACTAAGTGCCAGGCCCTGACCTATGTTCCTTGGCATGCATCATCTCATTTTGTCTTGCAAAGTGCTATAAGGGACACAGTCTTATTTACAGGTGAGAAATTGAGGCTCAAAGATGTCTCAGAGCTAATCAGTGGTGAGGCCTAAAAATTAACCCACATCCTTAACTTTACAGACCATGTTGCCTCTTCATATGAACTCTTGTGTGCAAATTTTTTTTAAATATTTATTTTTTAGTTTTAGGTGGAACAATATCTTTATTTTATTTTTATGTGGTGCTGAGGATCAAACCCAGTGCCTCACATGTGCTAGGCGAGCACTCCACCACTTGAGCCACAACCCCAGACCATGTGCAAATTTAAATATATATATATATATATATATATATTTAGTTGTAAGTGGACAAAATACCTTTATTTTATTTAATTTTATATGGTGCTGAGGATCAAAGCCAGTGCCTCATACATGTGAGGCACGCATTCTACCACTAAGCTACAACCCCAGCCCCCTCACATGAAAATTTTGAAGAACTGGATTGGCCCCCAAATTTCTGGCCCCTGTATAGAGAGACTCATTGGTTTTTCCCAGTTTAAAGTCTCAATTCCAAACAGTGTTCTCCCTCAATCAACTTTGAGAGAGGTCAAATGTTTCTAAGAATTTCCCCTAGAGATTATGGGAGAGTCACTGACTCAAAAGATCTAAAGGAACTTTGCTTCATAAAAATGCTTAGCATGTTCAACAAAATTCAAAAGAAATTGAAAATAAACTGAGAGACTGTTTGAGCTGGCAGGAATTTGAAGATTATCTACTCCACTGCTATGTTTTCATTGTGTTGATTTTTGTGATTGAGGTCTATGGTAAGAGATAATCATTGTCTACTTCAGGTAGTAAATCAAATTATTTTTGTAAATATGTTTACATTAAAAAATTTATTTAAAGAAAACTCCTTGAATGAATAGTAATGAATGCAGGGGGAAAACAGGTATGTCAAACATAGTCATGTTAATTTGGCTACAGCTGCTTTCCAGAGACACTGCTTTATAGAGGTGGTTCTCAAAATGCAGAGTAACCATAATCCCCCGTGGGGGCGGGGCTGGTAATAGTGGGCTGGACCCATCCTCAGCATTTCTAACTGGGTGTGACCCAAGAGTTTGTATGTCTAATAAATTCCTGGGAGATGCTAATGCTGCTAATCCAGGAACCTGACCCAAGAATGATTCCTGTAGAATCATGATCAAGTGGTCAATTACCCCTTGTCTGACCCAAGGAAGAACTATCTGGTAACTGAGGAGACTCACTTTCTACTTGCGTTCTAGGCTCCCCATTTAGTCCACAGAAGGCACCTCATTTAATACCTAGGGTCCCAAGCTCCTGCTGAAGTCTGCACTGCCCAGTGCTCCCCAAAAAAGTGGCTACCTCCTCATTTCAGGGGAACCTAACTCCCAGATGAGAGAGCTGACTTGCATACTCATGGGAACCTGACACTGATGGAGGAGCCTCCTCAATATACCTGTGGTTCAAAGGAGAGAGGCCAGACTTTGTTAGACTCTGTAAACAAGTCAAGATGGCACCTGGCATTTTGCAGAGGGAGTGGTTTGTGAAGTAACGCCAGCGAGCCCTTAAGTGTGGAGATTCCTTATTGGTTGACTGCTGTATCTGGTTTATGTTAATTAAGATAAGCTGTGTGTAATGTATATATGCCCCTCCGGTCCTACAATGAACAGCTCCCACTCCTGCTGTATCAATCTACACAAGTTGCTCGTCACCCCCCCCCCCACCACCCCGGGTTATTTTGCTGCAGCCGGACTGCGGCAGACTTCAGTTCTGACTTGTGAGTGACTTTTTGAGCGAGTTGAAAACTTGGGGGGAAAAAGTGATTTGGAGCTGAGCTTAGCCAAAGAAGCAGGATTTATTCTAGCTCTTCTAATAGGACCATGCCTGAACTGTGTACCCTGACGTGGTGTCAGGTATAATAGATGCTCAGGGGGCACAGTCATTACAGCATGACTCTGGCATCAGACAGAGCTGGACTCAGATCCCTGCTGACCTGTTCACTAGCAGAACATCCTTGGGTGACTTCTTGACCCTTTCTATGTTTCAGTTTGCTCATATATAACACAGGCATAAAACAGACCTTCCTTAAAGTGTTCTACAGAACAAACATGATGATGATGTATGTGGCACATAGCTTGACACATCATCCAGTACTCTGCCTGGAACTCTTAGGGGAAACATCACCAAGTCCCTTGCTTGGCATTCATTTAGAACCATTTTCTCTTTGGTATAAAAGCTCAGACCAGAAAAAGAGTATTTATGATGGCTCTGGCTCTTTCCTCCTTTGCTTCGGGGAGTCATTGCTTCACCATGGTAAGGAGACTGTTATCTACAGAAAAGCCACTTCTTCTGTGCAGGAATGTGGAACCCTCAATTATAAATGCATCCAAATCACCTTCAACTCTAAAAACTAAGTGGACAATAAGCAGAATTTCCCCTTATCTCTCAGGAAAGACCCTTTCTCTTTTTACAAAGTTTATACTATCACAAGAAGAGATAAAGTAGAAAACTAATGTTAGCACCAACATGTCCATTAGCTTGTTGTGGCTGGGCCAGTCACTCCATCTCTGTATTTCTCAGTTTTTCCATAGAAACTTAAAAAATAATACATGCTATTTTGGTTTGTACATGTTATTGCCACTATGTTAATGCAGAAGGTAAAATTATTAGATTTGGGGAGCTATAGCCTAATCAATAAATTCATCCATTTGATGGATTAATAATTTGAAAAGATGACTATATGGCAACTATAGGCAGGTGAGGTATGGCTGGAGGAAGTGGATCTCTGGGGATGTGCCCTTGGGGATTATATCTTGTTCCCCTGGGGTCTTCCTTCTCGCTCTCTTTTCCTGTCTGCCACAGTTGTTTTCCTCCAACATACCTTCTACCATGATGGTCTGCCTCAACTTGGGCCCAGACCCAAGCAGTTGGCCATCTATTGACTAAATCTCTGAAACTGTGAGCTCAAAATAAACTTTCCCTCCTCTGAGTTGTTTTTGTCAGGTATTTTGATCACAGGGATTTCAAGATCATTAAAACATGTGCTTTACCGTCACTGAAGAAGAGAACCCATGTAACATGTCCCCAGCTTTTGTCTAAAAGTAAAAGGCATTTTCCAGATTCACCTTACTTCAGAAGCTAAGGCAAATGCATATTCATTAACAGTATGGTATTTAGGCTACTGAATAAAGTGCTGTGTGATTAGCCGTCTTTCATGATCACACAGATTTTAAAGTCAAAAATGCACACGTGTAATTTCCAACTTTGAGCTGTAAATATTCATGAACAAAGTCTGTGCCTCACCTCCTCCACATGTCACTGTGCAGGGAAAGAAGTCGGTTTGTCTCCATTGATGGCTGATGGGCTGGTAAAAGAAGAACTGGACCACACTGTCTTTGGCCACAGTGTACCTGGTCTGGACAGAGAGAACTGTGATATACATTTGCATACAGTGAGCTGGTGTTGTCCATGCCTTTCAGACTCCACAAGTGTCACAACACACTTTGATACATGAGGAGTGCAAGGATTTTAAGATATAATAGCATTTCAGTTAGACTTGTCATAAATGGAGGCCAAGGTAATTCTCAACAAATCCCTTTGGAGTCATTTTTCCAGATCATTCCATGCCTGTAAGAGGATTCACAAAAAAATATATGTGGCCTTGCTTCTTTAATTTAATTTTTTCCTTTCTAAAACATTTGATTTTAATTCCCAAGATGACAGAGATTGAGACTTAATGTGGGTTTGCTCACAACAAAGCACATGACTAGGATTCTTTTGGTGGTTGTTGTTCTTATTAATTATATATGACAATAGAATGTGTTTTGGCCTATTATACATATAAGGAGTATAACTCCCACTCTCCTGGTTGTGTATAATGTGGAATTACATTGGTTGTGTATTCATATACACATATAGAAAAGTAACATCCCATTCATTCTACTATCTCACATGACTAGGATTCTTACATTTTACATAGTAACATCTTTAAGCAGTTTCTTCTGAAAAATCCTTCAAAAGCACAACTGCAGAAACTCTGCTCACTGTAGTAGTGTCTGGTTAAAGGGAAGGGGCCAGGACAAGAGCAGGCAGTTGTACACAAAGGTGAATTTACTCTCAGATGTTTTTCTCAAGCAGCAAATTGTCTCCTTACTTTTTTCTTCTCTTCCTCACTGATCGAACAAATGCACAAACTGAGAGAAACTTCCAGAGTGGAGCATAAAGAGAAAAAAAGAAGGAAAACCAATCAAGCTCATAGGAGACAGTCCAGAAAAGTCCACACATACAGGGAATTCAAGATCACACACTTGAAAATTGCAGAGAAAAGATTCTATGTGTTGTCACCACAGAAAAATAATGAGTATGTGAGGTAATATATATGCTAATTAGCTCTGATCATTCCACAACATACACATCTTTCAAAACATGTTGTACACCATAACTACATACAATTTTTATCAACTAGGAAACATTTCAGAGTATCAACATATTAGAAAAATCTGGAAATGTAATTGGTTAGAAAAACCAAGAAATTAAATTTGAATGGGAAAAATATAGCAATAAATATAATTTAGGGCTGAGGCTGTAAAATGATTTAGGGCTGGGCACTCAGTGACAAAGCTCCTGCCTTGCATGTCTGGGGCACTGGGTTCAATCATCAGCACCCATAAAAATAAATAAACAAACATATTGTGTCCATCCACAACCAAAAAAATTTTTTTAAAGAATAATTTAAAAAGAATTTTCCATGACATGAGAAAATATTCATACGATAGTTCGTGTAAAAAATAATTTACAAAAAAAATTTAAAGAGAAATTTAAAACGATTATAAAAAAACACTAAAGTATTTCTTTTTTAAAAAAGATAGAGATAATAAAATAACAAAGAGGCAATATTTTGTTATAAAATTGCTAAGACTTTCCTAGACCTTAAAAGAAGATAATGCATCTTTATCTTCAGAATTCTTATTGCGTTCTAAACATACATTTAGAAAATAAAAGGATAAAGAAAAAAAACTTAAAATTATCAAAAAGAAGAAAAACGATTACCTACAAAGGAAGTATTAGATTTCTCACAAGAAATACTGGATGCAAGACAAGAAAATCATATTTTCAAAGTGATGAGGAACAAGAGTTTTGGATCTAGCATTCTATAATCAAATTATTAATCAACAGTCAATTATCCATCTATAATCAAAATTTCAATAATTAATAAGTGTAATAAAGATGTTTTCAGACATAAAATGACTCTGAAACTTTACCATTCAGAGACACTAGAAATAGAAAGAAATACTACAAGAGATATAATGAACAAGAACTAAGACAAATACAGAAGAAATTTGTTAGATACAAGAAGCAATATTGTGTAATAAAACAGTAAAGCTTATAGGTAAATCTAAATAAGTTTGATATATTAATTATAAAATAGCATAAAAGTTCCAGACTTGATACGTGTATGGAAGAAGGGAAGGTCAGGGTTGCAGTAACAGAATGGCTACAGCAGAGGGTTACAGAGACAGAAACACACGAAGGTGTTTTGCTGCTGACTGTTACAGAATGGCTTGTTTCTGATGAATTCTCCTGTAGAGGATAAGTAAAAATACTGCATAGAATATTTTCAAATGTATTTTAAGGCATCAGAGAACTACTATGCTAGTGAAGATATGCAGGGTTAAGATCCCAGACATGAAAAAAGCCCAGAAACGTGAGCACATTTGGCACTAGGTTTGGCACCACCTTTCAACTTGAGGCATTTTCCAGTTTGCAAGTTGTGACTGAGAGGCTGAGAAACTGTGCAGACCTGTCATCAGATTAATGGAGCTGGGGAGGCAAAAACTGGAGCCCATGACCTGCCAAGGTGAGGGGAATAAGTAAATACCCCAGGCTCACAGCTGGGATCCAAGAAGGCTCTGTTGTAGGAATAAAAGCAAACTGGATAGCCTCAGAAATTTAGCAAGACCCTGTCTCAAAATAAAAATTAAAAAGGGATGGAGATGTAGCTAAGTGGTAAAGTACCCCTGGGTTTAATGCCCAGTACAAAAAAAAAAAAAAAAAAGGAAACTGAACATAGACCAACTTTGAAAGGGAATGAAGCCCAGGTTCAAATTATTTCAATTCCTTGTTAGATGAAGGCGATTGGCTCCTAACCTAGCTGTCTTCTAGAAGCAAAAATAGTCCAGACACAAACTGTATCTATAATCTTACATCTCAAATATGCAACACAGACTTTAAAAATAACAAGGCATACGAAAATAAAGTTTAAAACTGAGAAAAGAATACGGAGAAAATAATTTAAAATCACAGGAAATCTAGATATTGGCAGTAAATAACAGAAACTTGAAACTTAAGTATGGCACTATTACCCCCTCCCCACCTAAGCCTTGGCTTCACATCTTTGTTTCTTTGCTGGAGAACCCTAGCAACATCTCATGCTACTCCCATGGTCATAAAACATCAGTGTTGGAACATAGCTTTTGCCTTGGGTTCTGTTTGAGAGAATCTGAACTAAGATGCTCTCATTAAAATATTCAATAAATTAAATAAGATGGATCATTTCACAGAAACAGAATGAAAAGTACAATAATCTAAATAAATATCTCAAAGGATGGATTTAATAGATTAGCCCAGAGTTTGTCAAATAGTTTCTTAAAGAGACAGAGAGTAATCATTTTAGGTATTCAGGTTATACGGTAGCTTCTGTTGCAACTTATCAGCTCTGCTGATGTAGTGCAAAAGTAGCCATAAACAACATGTAAACAAATGGGGGTGGCTGTCTTCTAATAAAACTTTATTTACAAAAATCAAGTAGATAGCTTGCTACTCATATTCTGCTGACCCTTGGATTAGACACACAGGGCTCTGTTTGAGAGAATCTGAACTAAGATGCTCTGATTAAAATATTCAATAAATTAAATAAGATGGATCATTTTATTTTGTAGCTTAATTCTATTGTTAGTGAAATAACATACTCATATTATTTAAATCTTCTAAAATTTGTTAAAACTTTATTTTGGAGAAGAGAATTGTAAGATAACATATATGAAGAAAGCAGAAATTATACATAAAGATGAAAATATAATTGCAGTCCTAGAAACAGAAGAAAAAGCTTGGGACAGAAGCTAATCTTCCAAAACTGATGGCAGATATTTAGCCATGGATTTATGAGACACATGGACCTCAAACTGAAGAAACCCACTAATTACACCACAGTCAAATTGATGAAAATAAAGCAAACAAACAAAAAAAAAACAGAAACCACTTAAACTCAGACAAAGAAAAAAGACACATTACCTTCTAAGGAACAAAAATTAGACTGATAGCTGACTTCTCAACAGAATAAATGAAAGCCAGAAGACAATGAAGAGATATCTTCAAAGTGCTGAAAGAAAATAGTTTCATAATGATAAAAGGTTCAAATCACTAGGAAGATGAAATGATTCTAAAGTTGAATGTACCTAAAAATCTAGCCTCAAAATATATAATGCAAAAGTTGCATGAATTAAAATAAAATTAGGTAAAATTACATGGTGGTGGTGTTATTATAAAATAAAGATATTTTATCTTACAGATAAAAATCTGTAAGCCTACAATTTTATTTTATTTTTTAACTTTATTTTATTTATTTTTATGTGGTGCTGAGGATAGAACCCAGGGCCTCACATACTAGGCAAGTGCTCTACCATTGAACCACAACCCCAGCCCAAGCCTAAAATTTTAAATAGAACAATTAATAAACATGGCCTAACTGATATATGTAGAACCCTATATTCAACAATGGAGGACTACACATCATAGTCATCCAAAATTCACTATTCTGAGCCAAAATAAAGTTTTAACAAATTTTAGAAGATTTAAATAATATGAGTATATTCTTTCACTAACAATAGAATTAAGCTACAAAATAAAATTATTAGGAAATACCCACATGCTTGGATGTTATATTCTAAATAACTCATAAGATAAGGAATATATTACTAAGAAATTTATAATATAACTGAATAATTGATGAAATATTTTATACAAACATGTGAAAATAAATATAAAGTATATACTCTGATTTCAGAGAAATTTATAGATTTAAGTGTACATGTTATAAGAAAAAAGGATTAAAAATGTAAATACTTATCTCAAGAAGTAAGAAAAATAACAGTATATTTAATCTACATAAAGTAGAAGAATAGAAATAATAAAGACAAGAACAGACATTTATTATATAGAAAGAAAACCACATAAAAGAGAGCTACAAAAGAAAAAGTTGTTACTATCAAAAGTGTAATAAAATTGATAACCCTCCAACATGATTACTCCAAGAACAGAGAGAATAAAAACAAATAACTGATATCAGGAATAAGTAAAAGGACTCACTATAAATTCTCTGAGGCAGTGAACAGATAAGAGGATACTATGAAAAAAATT